AGTCTAAAAGAAGAGCCTCATCTCTTTACTCGCACCAACACACCAGCATTCACCCATGTTTTGCTTCTTTGCAGTTGAACGCGGTTTCTTGTCGGGGTGGTTCTTCGGGATGGAGATAAAGATCGCCTTCAGACATCTCTGCGTTTCTGTGGTGCTCGTCAGCAGCTTTTTTTTTTTTTTTTTTTTTTTTTTTTTTTTAGTCCGGGAAGTGTAGCATAAACTTCAAGCCCAGGAGGAAGCTCTTCTTCTCTGTGAGACCTAGGGCAGACTAGACGCTGCACTGACTCACACAGCATCTAGTGTATACGTGGTATTACAACACGGTCTGGGACGCGGCTAGTTGGTTAGCATGCTCATTTCAGTAGATATCTCTGAAATACAATAGTTGGTGGTCTTGGTCATGACATCATCACTGTGGCTCCTTCACATACTACTGACGATGTTAACTAAACTTCTGGCCAGATTTGGCCACATCTTACACATTACACCTTTAAGACCTATTACAAAATTTCAAAATTTTAAAAAGGAGTCATTAAAATGTCTCCCAGAGATGCTGTTTTTTAACCAACTCATTGAGCTAAAACTAGCTTGACTAGCTAACTAGCTGTAGTTGATCAAATGTGCCAGCAAGTAACATACCGGCTGTTAAATTCAACAATCGTCAGCTAAAAATGAGAAGCCTGCTTTTGTCTGAAATTATTTAAAATTTGAAGTGGTAAATCTGCCCCGGTTATGCAACAATGTAAGTCTTTACAGGCAAAGCAAAAGTAATCGTAAGTTTACAAATGGGCACAGCATCGCAGTCCTGCAGAGCTAAGCGTATTGCATGTATGAGATGGACAGTCTGGCCAATACAGGAGTCTTTTTTAAAAAAATTTTTATGGATAATGCAGAATTATTTAAAATATAACTTTTGTCTGATCAGTTGGTGAGAGGAATTCAACTGTATGAGTAACATCATTAACTAATTCAGCCATTCAGTGTGACTAAGAGAGCACAATAGCTGCTGGGCATGTACTGTAAGTGTTAAGACATTTGGGAAAGTGTCGAACTGTCAGGAGTTAAGGCAAGAAGAAAAAAAAAAGTGATTCACTCTCTGTCTGACTAATGACTTTCATTAGTGGTGGAAAATGGGGGGTCAAAGCAGAAAGAAATAAAGTAGCCTGTGAAAAAGATTATTTTATTTTATTTATTTATTTTTTCATGGAAGCGTGCCATGGTGTCCGCAGGGTATTTACTGCCTGGATGTAACCGTAGGAAATATACATTATATTTCTGTTGTTTTTGTTGTCTGTTGCCATGTTTTGCAGAGCAGTTAACAACGCTCCTACAGTCTCAGTGAAAAGCATGTGTGAGGCCATATAGTCCTTTAACTATCTGGAAGCAATGGGCCAGTGAGAGGGATGATTCATGTTGACAGCAGAGCTCATATCACCCAAGGTGTAAAAGGGACATTGCTGGAAGGGAACGTACCATAATATGGATGCCATCATTAAAAGCTGGGAGAGACTTCTGCTTAGCATGAAGCAGAGATAGACACTACACACATGTTGTACAAAACTACACATGTATACACAAAATACAGACACATAGAGTACACAGAACTCTATCTCTCCTGCATGTACACGCTCTATTTCCACAATTTGCAGAGCTTGCACAGGACACCTGAATAAACTTTGCTCAAGGTTTAGGAATAATAGCTCCGTGCAATCCTAATATCTGCACCCGTTCCATCATTTGAAAGCCATTATATTGGAACTGATTTTATAAATATGCTCTTATCCAGTCTGGGCAGTCAAATCAGTGGGTCTTTATTTAAACACAAACAATTTTCTCCCAAAGCCAGGAGAGGTGAACAACTCCACAAACCTGGCTTTTTCCACCTTATTCGGTGCAGATGAATCAAATCCTCGGCTGTTTACCCTCTTGTTTTAGCCCCCCGTCATTTGGAGAATGCTCCAATCAAATAAGATCTGCATGAAACAACAGCTCCGAAATGGGGACTTTCAAGTAAATCCTGGAGAGGGCAATTTAAGGTGAGAATCCAATCAAAGAATGTACTGTCTCTTACAAAACCCATAATAAACTTGATTAACTGATTCTTTTTGGCTGCTATAATTTTCCTTCTCCTGTCCAAATGCCTCCCAGACCATCACTTTGTAGTTTTAAAGTCATTGTGAAATTAAAAATAGCTTCCAGATATTAACTATGTGTCTGTCCTTGCTTCTATTAAAAGTATTTTGTGGGGAAAATGACGTGTCAGTGGCTACAAATGGTGGATGAACAGGCACATAATACAGAAATCCATCTATTTATACAGAATTTGGGACCAGCAGCTCCTCAAAGTTCATTTACTTGCAACATCATATAACAATAACCTTTTTCTAAGACACATCAGATGCATCCCAGTGGTTGTGATTTACCCTTTTGTGAAATCCATAATTTCTGACAGCTCAAGATTAATAATGTTTTGTGCAATAAGCAGCTGACCTGAGCAATTGTGTGACTGATTACAAATAGTCTGCTTAAATGCCGCTGTCAGTTGTTAATGGGAAACAAGAATGAAAAACTGCAACACAATTTCTGATTTGGGCTAATCCAAACAAAGCAGGTGAGAAGAGGTGAAGCTGTAAATCCTTCGAGAGCACAAATTTAATATCCACAGAAATGGAGAATGGTGCTAAGAGATGCTAAGCATGAAGGGATCCAGGGATTTTCTGGAAATGAGGAAGCATATTTTGGCTCCTAACTAATAAAACTGTTTAAAAATGTAGCTGATTTCCTTATGCACCTCAAGCAAACATTTATGTGAAGCCACAAAATGAGGCTGACATGCACTTTTTATGGGGAGACTCCAGCATTTACTTCTGGTGACATCATAGGTCTGAGAGTCAGTTCTTTGGTTTTGTAGCCTCCAGTAAATTCTCCCCGTTGAAGTTACTTTGCAGCTCTCCAGGGTGAGAGAAGGTATCTAAACAGGGTGATTGATTATTTAATGTGCAGATATACGGGTTCCTGTCGGTGATTTGTAAAAATAAGACCCAAATAATTCACTGCCCATTCAGAGACAGTTAGCTGCCTGAGAGAAGTCAGCGTTAAATGGAGCTCTACTGACATCTAGTGTTGAAAAGTAAAATTAGGTTGGGACAGGCTGATACAAAGATAATGCTGCAGGGATGGAAGAAATTTTATTTAATGTCACTGCAGAATTAATTTGTTAGCATCATTTTTGTTGTAGCTGCTTGAGATGAAGTTGATTTTAATGACTACTTACTATATAGTTTTTGGCTGTTTAATCTGCAAGAACCGCCTCTTTATGAAGACATTTGATTTGATAACTTAGTTCTAAAGCTCTATTTTACAGTGCAGTAACCTGTTTTTAATTTAAAGGAACTTGTTTAGAAAAATGTCATAGAAATTAGCGTCTGTATCTCCAAACAAGAAAGAATAAGGCATTGTTGATGCACTAAAACAATGAAAAAGCGAATTATACATAAAGTCATTGAAACTAGCTGATTTGAGTTGAAAGCAGGTAGAACTATTTCTAAGACATTTGATTTATTTTCTTTTAAGAAAGTAAAACTTAATGGGCTTAATTCTCAAAGAAAATGATTAGATCATAATCAGAGGCTGAACACATTTTTCTGAAACAAAATAATCTGCAAAATAAATAGTACTCAGATAATTGTAATGGAGTACAGGTGGTGTAGTATAAAGTAGCATAAGATGGAACCAAGTAAAGTACAAGTACTTCAGCAATGTACTTGAGTACAGTAGTTGATTAAACGTTCAAGGATCAAGATTTAAAAAAAAAATCTAACATCTCTACTTTTGACTGAGTTCTCAACTTCACACAAGAAATGTTAATGATATTCACTTCAAACAGACTCTGAATTTTCCAGAGCCCATTGGGCCCCTGAGCCTGTGTTCAGCCTGTTCAGTATTCCATCCATGGCTGAAATGTGGATTTACATCAATTTACTGTAAACTCTTTCTTAAGTATAAAGTTTCCTTGCTCAGACAGTTTTAATCAGGTTTACTATAATACTTTAGTTTATGCTTTTGTGTTCTTAGACATTGAGCAGAAATTCCCAGAGCTTACAAGTCTGGAACATAGGCCCTTTTCATAGCAGACATTTTGACTTGTCATAGTAGGAAAGACACAGATGATACTAATAATATTAACGATGGCTCTGCTCTATTTGAGTGCAAGAGTAAACTGTGACAGTGAGCCAGCATGTGCAATACCAGGACCATAAAACTGAAGCAGCTATATGTAACTGAGCCATCATTCGTTTTATTATTTACACCTTTGCTTTTTCTGCTGTGACATGTCAAAGTATAGTCTGAGAAAAAGGCCTAAATTCCAAACCTGTATTCAATGTTTAGGAATTCAAAAGCATGAAAAGGTCTACTGGAAGAATATAACACTAATATTTTAGTGAAAGAATAAAGGCAGCAAAATAAAAAAATAAAATATGGAAAAATAAAACACCAGAATACAATAAATTTACATTTACCCATTTGCCAGACTCTTTTATCCAAAGCGACTTACAAATGTAGGACATCAGAAAGCTTCAATGCAGTTGGAAGCCTTAGTATAAGTATTAAGAACTACATCTATTTAATAAGTGCAAAGGGATTGTATAAAGAAGTGCTAGTTAGACATGTTAGGGCACACAATATAACTCGAAATAAAAAGGGAGTCAACCATAATTATTATAGAAATAAAAATGTCGTTATTAATATTTTCCAATGTTAAATGAGACATTAGCTCTGTAGTAGCTACTAGTTCTATTTTCTTTTTTGAAATGTCACAATAAATTTTGAGACATTATTTAGCAGCAGTATGAAGTACTATTGTACAAACAAAAATCATTTAACTTTACATACAGGATAAATACTACAATGATTGGGATGCCAGTGCATCTCCATGGACGTTACGTTACGTACGTAACGGGGACTAACGGCACTTCCGGTTGTGGGTGTGCGGCGCAGAGACGTTGTTGTGGGTGCAGCATCCAGAGATACAGAGAAGACGGCGACAATGGCCGATATATCACTGTATCTCACTAACGTTAATGTGTCGATAGGACAGAACATGGCTGTGCAGCAGGTCGGTAAATAGTTTACTCTCTTCTCACCACATCTTCGCGTTTTGTTTACTGAATGTGGCTAATGATGTCGCTCAGTGTCTATGTTAACTGGTGGTCATGATGTCTGGTAATTTTTTTTTTTTTTTTTGAACGGTTTAGCCTTTAGGAACAAATTCCAAATGTTAATAGTCGCAGATTCGTCATATCCGTGAAAATTGTGTTAGTCAAAACTGACGTTAAAAATGACAAATGACAAAACACGCACATTTAATTCTCCACGTCATAAACTTTCCTTAAGACAAAGCCTTTAACAAAAATTACAAAAGAAATAATAATGTTATTAATTGGGATTCATATCACCTGGTGTAAAGGGCGGCTAGTGCACCTGTAGCTGCCCTGCACGGTCAGCCACAAGGGCTGGTGAAACGTTGTAAATAAATCATAATAGGATTTGAACGTTATTTTACCTCAGATATTTCTGGTGTTGAACATTTAAATTCTACTGTTGCCATGACAATTATATGTAGGTCAAGGTGCATTAAGAGCAAGTCATATCGGAGATCAAATCCCGTCTACACGTATGTAAGAGATGTGGCAGACACCAAATTATCAGATGCATTTTCGAGAAAAGCAGAGACTATGCAATATTTCATATTTAATTTACACAATAAATTTAGCATGAAATACACAATCACTGGATAAACTCAAATAGAATAGGCATTGTTTGACAAGGGACTCTTATTTTGTATGTGCAAAGCACATGCAGAGCAACAAAAGTCCCTGACAACAGGTGGTTGACCAACAAAGCTCCAGAGGAGCTAGCTCCCTCAAAGACTGCACTCTGGCAGAAAAGACATTTTAAAAAATGACATGCTCTGCTGTTCCATAATTAAGACATTTATCAACTTCAAGTGCTCCAAACTTGCCTTACCCATTGCACATATGTTAACCACACAGTTCTAACAATCATCTGTTGATTACAGATAGTCTAGTTTTTTCCTGAAATAAATAGCACTTCCATTACAATAACTGAAAACAAATTATAAACCAAGCCGTTTCCTTGATTAGCTTTTGGACCATTTTCATTCTAAGATGGCTGATCCCCTGCACATGAAAGGGAAGGTCCATCACTTCCTCCTTAAAAATCATGTCTGTCAACTTCACCAAGAAATAAGTTGTGGATACATGGAAGCTTAACAAACTCAGTCATGTGTTTATCCGAAGTGATGAAAGATGAAAAGCACATTCACTTACTTTCCACAGAGCAACAGCACATTGATTGATTGGTGAGGTAGTTAAATTTTTAGCTAAGTAATTGTACAATTGCGATTTCCAAAATTATGTTATTTGGCACCGGTGTGTAAATGCCTCAAAAACAAATAGTTGAATGTGGTTGGTATGTGCATTGAGGTGGTCATTCTTGTGCATTCTTAATAAAGCTTGGGTTTTGCTATGTAAGGCAATCATTTGTTTTTGAGGTAGCACCTGTCTCTGTTAAGGTGTATTGTGTTTAACATTTGAAAACAGGATTTAGGTAGGTAAAGCAGGGTGTCAGTTAAGCAGATCGGAAGCACAACAAGGACGGTGCCTGACCGAGCTTTATGTCAATGAGACGCATCATTCAGAATCCAGTCATGGGGCTTGATCAATTATTTTATTTTTTGGGCATTTTACATTAACTGTTGATGTTACTTTTCTTTGCGAGGCCTTCGATATGTCGTTACACTTCACAGACACATTTAGGCTTACTATTCCAGAAAATGATCAATCTGCCAATGTCAACATCTGGAGCACAAGGATTGGAATATGTAAACAAACATCACCAGACAACATGACCACCAGTTAAACTGGAACATCTGTAGATTGTTGACGCTTGTCAGCAATGTCCTGAGAATCTGGTTGGTCATGATATTACACAAGAAATGGATTTTCTTTTTTTCTTTTTATCCCCACAACTTGCAAAAGTATTTTAATCCTAACTTGAGTGACTCCTTTACCCATAATAGTACACAATGTCCTTGTGTTTGCCTGTGATGTCTTCTCAGGCTCCAAACCTGAGTAGGGACTTTGAGTGTGTGGAGCTGGGGGAGCAGGACAAGAGAGAAGAGCAGCAGCAGAGGGAGAAGGTTCCTCGCAGGATCATCCATTTCTCCAGCGGGGAGACCATGGAGGAGTACAGCACTGACGAGGAGGAGGGAGAGGACAAGGAGCCAGAGAGGAAAGACCTGCTGTCCTCCCCGGTCGATGCGGTGAGGGTGAGGAATAGTGGAGGGATGGGGAATTCGTGTGTGCGTGTGTGTGTACACGAAGCTAAATGAGGACAAGGGAAATGATGAAGAAAGGATTGTGTGTGTGAGAGTGTGAGAAGGACAAGGAATTTTTGTTTTCTGAGTAAATAATTCAAATGAGAAGCAGCAGCGGCATAAATGTAGTTCTTTACATAAGTGTCACAGTGACTGTACTTTTTTGTTTGCAGTCAAAGATGACTTGGGGTCCCTACTTCTGGTTCCACATGTGGAGAGCTGCCACATCCACTATTTCAGGTTTGTTCATTAAGTCTTTATTTACAACCTGAGGGTGGTAGAAGGCCCGTATCACACAAGACTAGTGAGTTACTCAGCTATGTTTGGGTTTAACTGGTTTTTTGTATCTTGGTGATGGCTTTCTTTTGACTGAGGTAGATCATCCCCAGGGTAACCTGAGAGAATAAGATCGCATCATTCTCACAGGATCTTGGCATATTATTGTATTTACAATTGAGTAACTAGTAATAAAAAGAAAAACTACCACTAGGATCATTTTGCCAACCATGGTAATTATGTCAGAAATAGAAGAAACATTTTTACACAACCGTGAGTCCATGCTGGTTTTAAAAAGTGCTTCTAACAAGCAGAGACTAATGGTAATTATAGCTGCATATGAACTGCACACCATGTTTCACATTATTGTTCACTTTTATTCATTTTAGTTTGTTTTTCATGAAATTAAAAAAAAAAAAAAAAACACCAAAATGTTACTGTGTAAAATAAATGGATGATCTTATTACTTGTTTATGGATAATTAGTTTATTTTACAAACTTATCTTAGAAATTAGAAATAGAAAATCCTATCAGCACAGTGTTGCTCACTAGCGTCTTCCTCCATTTTTAATCAGTAGCTAAGTTTACTGAAAGGCCAGCAGGGCAATGCAATGGGTCAAACTGATCGTGAGTTTTAAGAGCGCCCTCTGCTGCACCAAAAGGCGAACTACTTCAGACTGTCAGTTGCGCGTTTAGACTGTGAGTTTTAGATATGAAGAGGTCAGTACAGTTCAAATGTTAAATTTTTCCCATGTTTAATTTGATTTAATAAAAGGTGACAGCTTTAGTCAACGTAGGAATTCCCCGCATTTTTTTCATCATATTCTATATATTTTATACCACTTCTTGCTGCTACACTGATCTAATTTTCTGTAGGTATCATCACAGTTTGATGTCGTATCATATTAAGCATTTCATAGTTCTGATGATGCTGCATTTGATAACCAACTTTGTGATGCCACAGTTATCCAGGATCACCACTGTTACCATTGAAGCAGTAGTCCTGTACACATATTGGAAAACTCAATAAAAAAAAAACTAAATTCTGACAAAATATGAACTACCGATGCTGCTGACCGTAAACTCTGTATTTGTGAAGTCAACAAAAGATTGGACCAAGAATACTGAATTTTTGTACTGAATTGAACTAAACTGGAATGGTAGTCATTGGTTATTCCAAGCAGGGCGGTGCATCATTAAGGGAGGATGTTTTGTGTTGGCTTGTATTATATCCAACGTCTCCTTATTATTTTCCAGCATGTGACTACCTTGGGGAGAGGATGGCCTCCCTCTTTGGGATTACATCAGCCAAATATCAGTATGCCATTGATGAATACTACCGGATGAAGAAAGAGGTATACTGCAAGGATGTTCTCTAGTTCTTAGAGCATGTTATTGTGGTATTGAATTGGTTAATCAGCTGACATAATTCCCTCTTATGTCCCTGTGTCAGAGGGAGGAAGAGAAAGAGGAAACCCGCTTGTCAGAAGAAGCAGAACGATCCTTCGACCAGCTACAATCTCAGGAAGACGAGGACGAGCCAATCACCATGACAGACCAACCAGAGGTATCCGCCACCTCCGCCACCGCTCACCCTGATGTGACCTATCAGATCGAGAATGAAAATCAGGTGCCTTCAAGCACCATCAGAGTCCCTGCTATCGTCACGGCAACCTAAAAATCCCTAGAAAAGGACGTTTGAGCTTTCTTGTGTGTTTGTTTATTAGAGAAGGAACACCATCTTGTTTCACCAAGCACCGTTTGGTTTGTGTATGACACAGCTTTAGATGGGCAGTGCTGCTGTATGGTGGTTGTTTGGCAAGGACAGTGGTGGTGGAGTTACTCCTCTGACTACGAGGTGTCCCTTTCCAACAGTGTAGCAGCTGATAAAGTAACTGCTGGATAATGTAGCAACATCTTGTTATGAAAAACATACAGTAAGAGTCAGAAGATGTGCCAGTTTGTCTGCTCATGCATTGTGTTGTTTACATTTTTTGCCCATTCAGACCAACAGTTTACCATTTCGGCTCATTATTGCATTATCCAACACTTGAGGCTTTGTTAGTTGCTACAGCAGCCTCCCAAATGTGAACGTTTGCTGTGGAGTGAAGGTCATATGTTGCTCCCCTGTGCCTCTGATGGACCGGACACTGTGCCTAAATCACCAATACAGCCAAGTCAGTGCCAGATCTAGACTAAACATATATTTGAAAATGATTTGAAGTGTTTAAAGACATAAATTAGCCTTTGATTTTAGCGTGTACACTCAACTTTGGGTGAAGTTTTTCAAATATCTGATGCGTTTAACAGCTATTTTTTCCAGATCTGGTCAAAATGGTGCATTCTTGATACACCTGGCTGCACCAAAGAGCTAGCCATTTTAACACGCCCTCACCTGTTTAATTGTTGTCTGTATTAATGTTTATTAAGCTTGTATTGCACTGAATGTCTGTGGGAGCACTGAGCAGATTTAGCCTCGGTTATCAAATCATCTGTGGACCACAAGACTAACAGACATTTTGTTAAAAAAAAAAAACTATGAAAACGGGTTTAGGTGTTCTATGTTGCTCTTCCTGTCTGCCTCATCTACTACAGAACATACAGTAGTAGATGTGGTGTGTAGGCCTTTGATAATGGCAGGGAGCATTGTTACACTAAGTCTGTATAAAGACATGCAAACTTACATTTTTAACATTTTTTGGTACAATTTTTTATATTTATGTATTTATTTTACCAAACTGACTGCACTTAATTTATGCATTTTTTTCTATTGTTTTAATAAGCAACACTGTAATGAATCCTTAATAAAGTCATGGTTATTGTCTGACTTTCATACTCGTCTGTGTGACAGTTTTTCATTTCAAAATAGCAATCATCAAGTTAAACAGGTCTTATTTTCCTAAGTCAATGTTGGCAGCTCTGCCATCCTGTCTGCCTGCTGAGAGACTCATTGTGGTGCTACAGTGTGAGTGATGTGACTGATCTTTGTTGGTGGTAACAAAGAGCTTGTGTTGCTCTGTGCGCAGACTGCTCTGAGGTCAGAGACCCTGTCCACTCGCTGCACAATGTCACCATTCTCAGGTCAGAGTGGGTTCCTGTGGTCCTGAATGACCCCCACAGCAGTCACGCCCTCACTGCAACAGACACACAACAGTCAACATGACATACTCAGACTCACTAACGGTCAGTGTGCAGAGTGATAGCCGGTAGGTGTGACAGTGGAGTGAACATGGACATAAACTTCTGTTACAGCAAGTGATTTGTAACAGCAATAGTGAATGGTTTTTGTGTGTGTGTTTTATTTCATGTGTCCACCATCGTATGACTTCAGTCACAATGGTCATGTACAAGACTGTACACTGCAAACATCTCCATCTTATCAGTAGTTTTGATGATAAAGGTCTAATTTTCTTTAAACAAGTAGAAAAACTGGTTTCCAATACAAACCAAATCTCTGTTCTAAGACTTCTATGAGGATAGAATCACACAGACTCTTGTACTAGAATCAAGAAAATGACTTCTGAAAAAATACTAGAAAACGGATTTAAAATCGTGATCACTGATTTTTTATGCCTCAGCACCAGCGACAGCCAGGGCTGGAGGCATTTTTATTTTCTTGTTGTCCGTTCATCCATCGCCCCATTTTCGTAAAGGCGATATTTCAGTAACGCCTTGAGGGAACTTCTTCGAATTTGGCACAAACATTCATTTGGACTCAAGGATGAACTGATTACATTTGGGCGGTCAAAAGTCAAAGGTCACTGTGTCCTCACAATACACATTTTTTGGCCATAACTCACAAATGCATACACTAATTGTGACACAATTAAATAAAATGAGGTGATGAAAGGTCAATGTCACTGTGACATCATAATGTCATACACTCATGTTGTCGCTCAGGAAGGGGATATAGTCCATTGACCATATTTCCTGTGACTTGCTGGTTGGCAGAGGCATACAACCACGTTTTAGTTTTTCATTTGTTTTGAAGGAATAATTCAACATTTTGGGAAATATGGTTGTTGGCTTTCTTTCATAGTTGGATGAGAAGATCAATACCACTCTCACATATTATAGTAACTATGCAGCTACAGCCATGAGTTATTAAAATCTCAGTTTAACAAGTCATTTAAAAATGGTTTTACTTATTTCCATGACATTTCCTGACAAATTGGAGCTTCAAATTAGACTAAATAAAGCTTTGTGCCAGTATTTTAGGACTTAATGAAAGGCTAAATGATTTATGATGGAAATGTTTGGCAGTGACTGTGACAGGAAAGCTATGTTTCCCTTTCAGTATAATAGCTGTTTTCTGGAAAAACAGAAAAACTAGGGTTAGGCAGGATGTGAAATTATATATTTGGACACTTTCAAACTATGCAAACTCACAAACAAGATATGAGAGCAAAGCCTGTTAGTGGGTGACCCTCCATGTGGTGGCTGAATAGATGGTACACCACGTCATTATGGTGGTACCGCGATGAGACAGCTCATCTCTAATAGTCACATAGTGAAGTCAAGCCATGCCACAGGCCACACAAGACAGCCTCACACATCATCCACACTGACAGACAATACCACCCACTGACAGCCTGCACAGCCCAGTACACAGAGTCATGTTACACTGCTGCCAGTTCATCATGCTGCTATACATAATTCAAAAACACGGACAGAGCAGATTTCTTTAATTATGTTTTCAATCTGAGATCGCACAGATAAATATTTTTGTTAAGAGCATAAATGGCGATGTGAGCCTGAAGGCAAGGCCAAGCCAGCTCATCTGCTTTAATTGAAATACATTCAAATTCTTGAAAAACATCTCCTGGCTGTTTTTATCTGTATTAATTATTTATATGTTTTTCAGTCAGTTATGTACATACATAAAGCCTCAGATGGGATTTTCCTTCTGCATTGCACTCAATGTTTGTGAATTGATTCTTGGAGAGGCTCTGACAGATTTCAGTTGCCAGTTTCCACATATAAATGGGATTTGGTCTGATTGAGTAGAAATGATAATTAAAGACAAATTCATTTTCTGGAGGGCCCCATGATCCATTTCTTTGGGAGATGCAGTATAACTGTTCATATTCTTAAAATAGATCATGATAAATATGTACCTTACAGGTTCATATATTGATGATGCACTGACACACGTACACACCTGTTCATGGAGTCATGACTAACACTCATTTTTCAGCTTGTTTTGTTGTGTTTTTTTCTGTATTATGCGAAAGCACCTCACAGAACATGAAGGAGAACTGAAGAGACAAAGAAACATGACCTTTATCTTACAAACATTCCCAAAATTTACCATCAATATCCAATTAGTTTGTAAACAAAAAAAAAATAGTAATGTAATTGTCATACCACTCAGCCTGGTAATAATAAGTATATTGTTCCTAATATAATATAATATAATATAATTCAGTTCACATTTCAGTAAAGCGTTTATACCACCTGTTTCAAAAATGTAGTTAGGTAACTAAAAATAAAGATAGAAGACAGGTGTTATCATTACTTGTCATTAATTTAAAATCTGTATCAAATTGTGAACTCCATCTAAGCAGCTGTTGTATGTTGTTCAGCTGCGTCAGCCCAAAACTAATTGGCTGTGTCCAAGTTCAACAGACTGTAAGATACATTAAATGGGATTAATAATTTACAAAGATAGAAGCACTAGTTGCTGTGTAATTAGCATTTACAAGCCACTATTCCTCAGATGTACCAGATCTAAATCCCAATTTATTTACTTTTCCCAAATTCCCCTTAAAATATATTACTGTTTATTCTGTGACATCAGGCATTTTTCTGTTATTTTTAAGACTGTGTAATACTGTATTTATAAATTTTTCTTTTTCCAGAAGTTACTCACCAGTGTCCGGTTATTACTGGATGGCAGAGAAAACATCTGGAGACAGGAGGCAAGATTTTGCAGTTCCTTGTCAGTCCACTAGAGGACAGTACTGTATTTAACACAAGGGACATACTGGGGTTAATATAGATCATGAGGCCAGGGAAGCTCAAACAATGTGTGTAAATAAACAAATTGTTCGTTTTTTGTTTTTTTTGTTTTTTTTTAAGATTTTAGGGAAGTTTAAACAACTGCCCAGACAAAATAAAATAGCTTGGCAGCATGAAAGTAAAAAAAAAAATCCTGATAATATACTAAAACAATGGTGGATTGAAAACATTATATAATGACTCCAAGTTGATGTTTTTGTATTTTTAAAATTAGGAATCTGATCATGAGAAGCAGGTTTTATTTATATGTGTCCATCACAGTGTGTGAGTGGTGCAGCAGAGAGGAAACTGACTTTATTCATTTGAGCGTCTTCCTTCTGGAAGACGTGAGACACACAGCAGTCATCAGGGGATCAGTGATTAAGGGGGAAAATCCAGAGTTAAGACTTCACAATGCCATTCCTTGTGACTTAGTGTTTACTGGTGCAGCCATGAATGTGTGTGTGTGTGTGCGTGCACAAATAGTCGTCCGCACACATGCTTATGTTGCGGCATGTGTGCTTAAGGGGTTTGTCCCAAACTTTGCTCCGACTTTGGTGTGCCACGCACTGGCCTTGAGTTGCCTGACACTTCAAGCATACCTGACATTTTTTTGGGCTTTAAGTGGTGGGGGTGGGGACCAGTGGGAGACCAGTTTAGCAAGCGTGTTCACTTCTGATTTATTCCAAGGTGGTACACGAGTCTAACCACACGTCCGAAAACCACACCTGATTGCCATATGTGCTGGTTCATCTACTCTGTGATTAATCGGGGCTCACATGCAGTTAAGTCACTCACACTGTGCTGTTAGAAATAGTTAACATGAGCGCAGTTTGTGCTGTGGATGTAAAATGTCCGGCAGAACAGGCTGGTACCTGTTTGACTTATGACTCAAAAATATCCAGGTAGGTTTCTGGCATGTTAAATTTCCTCGAGATGCAGACGCTTTTTTTTTTTTTTTTTTTTTTTTTCCTTTTAAAAAGGAGGACAGCTGCTCCTCAGTGGTAAAGCAGACATGTATATAAATGGAAACAGAGACAGACGCGAGGAAGTAAAGACACAGAGGGACAGTGAGACATATAGAAAGACAGAAGGAGGAAGGATGATGAGAACAGCAGCAGTCCCTTTGATGTGGGCCTCAGCGGGGCCCTGTGTGTCTAAGACGAGGCAGGCCTGCTGAGGGAAGGGGATTTCCAGCGCTGCTCTCCTGTCTCACCTCCTTAGCCTTTGCTTCCTCCATGGGCTACAGCTTAAAAACACAGAGAGCCTGTCTACTCTGACACAAAGCCTCTGCAGCCAACACTGACACTGGAATGACAGGCATCGTCGTTTTATCACCACATCCCTTTAGGGGATAAAGTGGAGTAGACTGTGCAAGGTGGAAGAGTGGGTTGCTTTGCTGTTGGTCATCTAGTTCCTTCTCTTTAGGTTTGCATGCTACATGATAAAAAATGTGATATTTTCAGCTTTGCATCAAAGAGTTTTGAATATGATTGTATATCTCCTCATTGAAACATCCTTTGAAGCATCCTTTGTTGCATTTAATTGTAATTGCATTCACAGTTTGCAAGCCCCAGAAATATCAGCATTTATGATTATGAATATTCACCACAACATACTTTTATTTTCTCTTTTTACATGCACAGAAAACATCCCACATGCATGATTGTGATCTCCACTCGATTACTGCAAAAACTCCATTGAATGTTTTCTCACACATTTTGCAGTTCACACTACGCTCA